ATATCTTCAAATTTATATTTTATTAAAAAATAATATTATTATTGCTTTCTTAAAAACATATAAAATCGTATTATAACATCGACAGAGACAAGTAATATAATAGAATATTAAAATCGAGATGTGTGTCGCTGTATTGTATGAGTACCATATATAAAATAAAATAATTACACAAGGTTATAAGGTTAAGGTTAGGAGGAGTGCCATTTAGCCTTAGCTTGTTTTCGGGTGAAAAGAGTCGAAGAATTTTCCCCGAGGGATAGGGGTCAGTTTCGGACACTTCAATCAATGATTGATTCTGCCATTAATATAAATCTCTGTCCAAAGCTTATTTCTTAAACAACTGCCAACAACTCGCCTTACTCTCTCTCCCCAGACCTTTTCTTTTCTTCCCAGGACGGCAATTCGATTTTCTTTCCTTTTCTTTTTCCAATTTTCTGCGATCCATCGTTGCACCCACTACCAGTTTTCTTCTAATTTTAGGTAAATAAAATGTCTTTGGATCTTCCCCCTTCACGTCGTAGATGCATAAATCATCTTTGCGCAAGAGGGCCGTCGCTGTCTTCGACTGGTTTCAATTTCAGCAATCTTTTAACTTGTTACTGTTGCTCAAACACGTAAGTTGTTCTTGATGATTCAAAAACCCTTCAATTTTTTGTCATGATTTAGTTAGTGTACTTCAATTTTCAGTTGGGTTTTTCGTCGAACATATTGTAGACGCATGTAATCTTTATTCGGTAGATATACCTGCTGTAGTTGCTGTTAGAGTCGAGAGATTTAGTTTAGATTGAATTGTTTATGAGCTTCTCAAACTCTAGCGAGAGATAGAGGTGGGTGTGATGTTCAGATCATCACTACAGATCAACCACTTTTGATCTATCCCTTGACCTTACATCATCTAAATCCGGTATGAGTTTAGATGATGCCCAGATTGTCAACGTTAACCCCCAACTACAATCACCAGATACCTTGCAAAATTCATCTTCTCATGGAGGAGGCTTTCAGTCCAAAAGTTGGAGAGCCAGCTCGGTCCAAGAGGTTGGCTTTGTTGATTTTGGATCGAAGAGTGTGCCACAGGGATCCCAAGGAGGAGGTGCTGATTCCGAAGGTCTTAGCTTGTCCATGTCCCATAGAGAGATTGACAATGAGGATGCCAGGTTGGTCTATGTAAATGATGCCTTAAAGACAAATGAAAGGTTTGAATTTGCTGGGAACTCTATTAGGACAGCCAAGTATTCTGTTTTGAGCTTCTTGCCAAGAAATCTGTTTGAGCAGTTTCACAGAGTTGCCTACATATATTTCCTTCTCATTGCTATTCTCAATCAGCTTCCCCAACTTGCGGTTTTTGGGAGGGGTGCCTCCATCTTGCCCTTGTCCATTGTATTGTTAGTTACAGCAGTTAAAGATGCTTATGAGGACTGGAGGCGGCACAGGTCAGATCGTATTGAAAACAATCGCATGTCATCTATTTTGGTAAATGATAGATTTCAGCAGAAAAAATGGAAAGATATTCAAGTAGGTGAGATCATTAGGCTTTCTGCAAATGACACCATCCCTTGTGATATTGTGCTGCTTTCCACGAGTGACCCAACTGGGGTTGCTTACATCCAGACCATAAATTTGGATGGAGAATCTAATCTGAAGACACGGTATGCAAAACAAGAAACCCTTTCTAGAATCCCCGAGAAGGACAGGATGAATGGGTTAATCAAGTGTGAGAAGCCTAACAGGAACATCTATGGGTTCCATGCCACTATGGAGTTCGACGGGAAGCATCTATCTCTTGGTCCTTCGAATATCGTGCTTCGAGGCTGTGTGCTCAAGAACACTAATTCGGCAGTAGGAGTTGCTGTATATGCTGGAAGTGAGACCAAAGCTATGCTCAACAGTTCAGGAGCCCCATCCAAGAGGAGCCGTTTGGAGACCCGCATGAATCAGGAGATTATCTTGCTGTCCATTTTCCTTGTTGCTCTGTGCACGGTTGTGTCTGTTTGTGCTGGGGTTTGGTTGGGACGCCATAGAGATGATCTTGATATTCTACCCTTCTATAGAAAATTGGATTACTCTGAGCCAGAAGCAGAGAACTACAACTATTCTGGCTTAGGGATGGAGATATTATTCACTTTTCTTATGTCGGTGATTGTGTTCCAGATTATGATACCCATTTCTTTGTATATATCCATGGAGCTTGTGCGTGTTGGTCAGGCTTACTTCATGATCCGAGACGACAAGATGTATGACAAAACGTCAAACTCTAGATTCCAGTGCCGGGCATTAAATATAAATGAAGATTTAGGACAAATAAAGTATGTGTTTTCTGACAAAACCGGTACATTGACAGAAAACAAGATGGAATTTAAATATGCAAGCATTTTGGGTGTAGATTACAGTGGAGAGGGAACAGACTTTGATGGTGAACAAAGGGGATACTGCATTCAAGGTGCTACACGTATCTCCATCTACCTTTCCAATCATTTTTATTTAGGGTTTGTGATGTGTTCTTCAAACAGTCTTTTTCTAGTGAAAATGGAGTAATCTTTTCATGTCCTTATCTGGTTTCAGTGAACGGGCAGGTTTGGAGGCCAAAAATGATGGTAAAGGTTGACAAGGAGCTACTCCAACTATCACAAACAGGAAATAATATGAAGGCTAGCAAACAGATCTATGATTTCTTCCTTGCATTGGCTGCTTGTAACACGATTGTGCCCATTGTTGTTGACACATCTGATCCCGCTGAGAAGTTGGTAGATTATCAAGGGGAATCTCCAGATGAGCAGGCACTTGTTTATGCTGCGGCTGCTTATGGTTTTATGCTTATGGAACGAACCTCTGGCCACATAGTTATTGATATTCAAGGAGAAAGACAAAGGTATGTTAGTAACCATTCAATTTTGGCTTAAAAGATTTCTTTATGTTTTTGTTATGCCATCTCTTTCTCATGATTATTTTCTATTTAATGGACTTGGTAGCTTCTTTCATATTACAAACTTTACCAACGGTATTAGTCTGGTTGCTCATTTACATACCACATCCAAATATTAGAAGGAGGGATAACCTTTGAAGTCGTATTCTGTTTGTATGTAGATTACATGAGAATTGATTTTTATAGCACTCCAAGTTGATGACAATAATCTTGTCCATGTTAGATGCCAAAGTTCACCTATGATATCTTTGTTCTGCCGTATCCATATTCATATATGGATCAAAAGTTCAAATCCCCTTTCTTTCCGTGTTTCACGTCTTCTTTGCTTGCTTGAATTTTACTCTCTTGAACAAGAAACAAAAGCTTGCTTTATAATTTACAGTGTCCAAAACAAATGTCATATTTCAAATGCTAATAATTAATTACAATTCCCTTTTTGAAGATTGGATAGAGTGACATTGTTATTTATTCTTGTTATGTGAAGTTGTCCCAAAGTATATTTCTCTAAATTCCTTCTAGATTGTAAAGTGGACTCTGTTTGGGACCAAAGGAGTATTCTTCCACTCTCTTTGTATGCTACTTTCTGCTTGTAGTTCTCTCTATTTAGGGAAAGCACCAAACTAGCCATTTTTGGCAAAAAAATCAAGAATCGCCATTTTTAACAATCACCAAACTAACCAAGAATCTCGCGGAATCACCTTCTTTGATTTTTCAATCTGATGGTGGGCAATAAGCTCTGCCGAAAGGCACCTTTTTTGATATTTTGCGGAGATTCGCGGAATTACTGGCTGTTTCTCGATGATGTTTAAAAAACGAATATTTGATGATTTCTTTTTTCCGAAAATGGCTAGGTTAGTGATTTCCCCCTATATTTATCCATGTTTGTGTATTCTAATTTGATGAACTACCGATCATGACAGCACAGGTTTAATGTTCTTGGAATGCATGAGTTTGATAGTGACCGGAAGAGGATGTCAGTTATATTAGGATGCCCTGACGACACTGTAAAAGTCATTGTTAAAGGTGCTGATAGTTCCATGTTTAAGATCATAGATAAATCCTTTAACTTAGATGTACTAAGAGCGACTGAATCCCATCTCCATTCGTATTCTTCCATTGGTTTAAGGACCCTTGTTGTTGGAATGAGGGAATTGGGTATTCCTGAGTTTGAGCAATGGCAGTCTTCTTATGAGACAGCTAGCACTGCCGTGATGGGTAGGGTTGCCTTGCTTCGTAAAGTCGCCATCAATTTAGAAAACAATCTCAATGTAGTGGGTGCATCTGCAATTGAAGATAGATTGCAAATGGGCGTACCAGAAGCAATTGAGTCTCTACGAAAGGCTGGCATAAAAGTTTGGGTTTTGACCGGTGACAAGCAAGAAACTGCAATCTCAATTGGTTACTCTTCTAGGCTCCTAACAAGCAACATGAGCCAGGTAGTAATTAACAGCAACTCTAAAGAATCATGTAGGAAGAGTTTGGAAGATGCCTTGATTACGTCAAGAAAATTCGTGGTGTCTGGTGATCCACATGCTGGTGGTTTTGGAGCCTTGATCATTGATGGAACAAGCCTTGTATATATCCTCGACTCTGAGCTTGAGGAGCAGGTGAATACCAAACACTCTTGAACCCCATACTTTCCTCTGTGAACTTGATCTTTATATAAAAGTCTTTTTTGATCTTTCAGCTTTTCCAATTAGCCAACCATTGTGCTGTGGTGCTATGTTGTCGAGTTGCTCCATTGCAAAAAGCTGGGATCGTGGCACTGATAAAGAATAGGGCAGATGACATGACCCTTGCCATTGGGGACGGTGAGCAATGTTTTTTATTCTAGTGACATAAGATAGTTAACGAAAAGATCAAAAGTACATTCAACTCCTTTCATCTATACTATATTATAAAGCATGTAGGTTTTTGTTCTTAAAAACTTTTAATTTTTCAAGGGGACAACTTATAAAACATTAAATACTGATTATTAATCCATACAAAATCTTTTGATTTTTAAAATATTTCTATTTTTCCCTTCTTTAGGTGTTAAGAACAAAGTCTTAGGAAATTTCTATACCCTTCCAGAATATAAAAAATCAATCAACCAAATAAACAACAAAATATTTGAGATTTTTGCAAACTTCACCTCACAATTGATCTATTTCCAAAAAACAAAAAATCATAAAAATTAAATTTAAAACAATGCAATCTTTGGTATCCAATTAAACTTTACATTCTGCTGCATTGCTCATGTACACTTCTAGATCCTATTCTTGTAAAGTTATCCATGTCATAATAGTAATATGTTCTCTTACGAGTTCAACTTCTTATGGATTATTTAATGTAATACTTTGAAACTTGAGAGAATATCAAATTATCTCTGATGGTAAATGTTTCTCTCAAACTTTTCAGGTGCCAATGATGTTTCAATGATCCAAATGGCTGATGTTGGAATTGGCATAAGTGGCCAAGAGGGTCGTCAAGCTGTGATGGCATCAGATTTTGCGATGGGGCAGTTCAGGTTCTTGGTTCCTCTTTTGTTGGTCCATGGACATTGGAATTACCAGCGGATGGCTTACATGATACTCTATAATTTTTATCGCAATGCAGTGTTTGTCCTTGTCTTGTTCTGGTAAGTATGCGTATACCCAATTAAAAAGATATATATTAGTGTTCCTTTTTCAATTATATGCCGATTACGTTGAATGAACTTGAAAAAAGATTTCTAATTGCGTACTCAATATTTTCCTATTTGTTTTCTGTTGGACCTTCACTATAACTGAGGCCAAAAAGGATTTTCCTGATGAGATACCAAAATTCCATATGTTTTCACCAATTCAAGGTGAAAAATGTGGTTGCTCCTCCCTCCGAGTCCCTCACCGTAGGGTTTAGACAGGGGAAAGCTTCTCTTCTCCTTTTCCACCATACATAACAAGAAAATAATAAAGAAAGAAATAATGATGTGTATATAATTGGTGAAAATGGAGCTGTTTATTTATGTGTGCATGCGAAAAGCGAAAGACCCATAGACAAAAAGGACAGAATTCTTTAAACTGTTGTTTCTGTGACACCTTCAGACGCTTGTATGCAAAGAAAATTTTGGGTAAGTCTACTCCATATGGTGGTTGCGAAAACACGTTGATTCCAATGTTATGTGTTGTTTTTCAAACATTCGGGCCTTGTCCTTTCCAACTAAGGGTGCGTTCGGACATGATTGAGGAAACTGGATGGGTGGAAGGTTTTACGGTTTTAATTTGACATGGGTACATAGTTTAGTAATTTACCAATCTTGTCCTCCCTGATGTTTGTTCCACCTATTTTGGTGTTCTTTCTCCCATTCTAATGTCGCACCATCCGTCACTAAAAGATTGTGTTCATTTTCTTTCCAGGTATGTGCTCTTTACAGGCTTCACTTTGACCACAGCTGTTACCGAATGGAGCAGCGTGTTATATTCTGTACTTTATACCTCAGTACCTACAATTATTGTTGCGATTCTCGACAAAGATGTAAGTAGAAGATCTCTACTGACATATCCTCAGTTATATGGGACTGGACAAAGACAAGAAAGCTACAATGCGAAATTATTTTGGCTTACAATAGCAGATACATTGTGGCAGAGTATAGTAGTCTTCTTTGTTCCGCTATTTGTTTATTGGAAAAGTGACATTGATGGTTCGAGCTTAGGAGATCTTTGGACCCTGGCGGTTGTGTTTCTGGTTAATGTACACTTAGCCATGGATGTTATTAGGTGGTCTTGGATCAGCCACGCTTCGATATGGGGGTCTATTGTTGCAACCTGCATATGTGTTATCATCATCGACATAATTCCAGTGTTACCTGGGTACTGGTACGTACGATCTCTTGCCTGATCTGCATTTATACATAATCCCCTCTTCCCAGAAACGAATACACTTTCACTTTTCAGGTCAAATCTTTTAAACATTAAAAGTTCATATGTGAATGAGAAATTTTGCTATCGAATTTGAAGTTGAAATTGGCCCATTATTGTGGATGGGACTGGACAGGCGATAGCGAGGCAGGCAGGTGAGAGGATTGTGGGAGATTTTAGGGGTTTTAATTTGACATGGGTAGCTTGGTAATTTACCAATTTTGTCCTGTCTCCCTGTTTTTTGTTCCAACTATTTTGGTGGGACAAAAAAATGCATTTGTCCCGGTCTATTGTCATTCCAAACGTGCTGTCCTGTCTCGCATACCATATGTTCTTCAGAGAATTTTGTTCCTTTGGTCAGCATATACTTTTTTGCTGGGAAAAAGTACAAGAAAAGGAACCATAAAGAGCAAAATAACAGAAAAATATTTGGAGAAATATACCACTTTTGCTTATAATCTGAGCATTTAGTTTGTTTTAGATTAAAGAGAAGAAAACAGACAAAATGTTCAGTCTTTTCTCTCTTGAAGTTATTAGTGAAGTTTCTTGTTCAGGTTATGCATCCAAAAGTTGAGATTGTATAAACATATGATATGCATGAGTTCAGGTTATACATACATACATACTTCCAAAAGTTGACATTGAATATTTGATATACATGAGTTCATAAAGAAGTGGTGCACCTTGACTTTTGAGGTCAAAATAGTTGCTTTCCAAATTCAGAATCGATGCTTTGTTCCCAAACTACGCACCAACATCTTTCACATTGTTATATTTCTCATATTGTCGAGCATTTTTCATCAAATTGTACCAAAATTTGAAAAACTCATATGCAGTTATCGAGTTGAAAATTGATTGGTTTGACCTCAAAAGTCAAACCGTGTATCTTTTCCTGTAAAGGAGATAATCTTTTGCCAATATAGCTTCTCAACCATTTACTTCTTTAGGGTTTCTTGTCTTCTTTCTTTTTTGTTGAGAGATTTGTGTTGGGTGTGTGCCTTTTGGTCTCCTTATGTGTATATCTTCTTTTATTTAGGGAAAAATGCAGAAAAAATGCAACAAAGTGTGCTTAGTTCCTATTTAGTGTAATAAATGCTTTTCTTCCTCGACCAATATAATAAAATTTCAAAATTTCCTATTCTTTTACCTACTTTGCCCTGTAAACTGCTGATCTTGTACATTTGATGACATGGATATCAAGTTTGTTCGCAATCCATGTCATTAACAGGTATCCACGTCGTCAAATGTTATAAGATCAACCGGCTACTGGTCAAAATGGGTACGAATAGGAAAATCTGAAACTTTATTACGATGATTCAGAATCCGTCACACTAAATAGGAATGAAACCAAACTTTGTTGTATTTTGATGCATTTACCCTTTTTTTTTATTAACCTGAATATCCAACCCGCTATGTGAGGCGATTAATCCCAGCGCGACCAGCCGCTTCGCGGTCACCGCAGTTGAACCTCCGTGACCACAAATATTTATGCAAGTTCTGGGATTCATCAGGGAAAAAAAAAATTCTCATGCAGTTTGATGTAATCTTTGCAGGGCAATCTTTGATCTTGCAAGCAAGGGATCATTTTGGATTTGCCTGCTTGGCATTCAGATCACGGCCATTGTTCCACGATTCGGTATTAAAATGTTCATCCAACACTGTAAACCGTCTGACATTCAAATAGCAAGAGAGGCCGAGAAATTTGGGAATTCAGTAGAATCAAGAGGTACTGAAATAGAAATGAACCCACCCCGAAGATGACCCGTTTCCGTTTTATGATTATTATTATTTTCTCACATTCTTTAGGTTGCTAGAGAAAAAAAAGCTCTTCTCTTGCTTGCCTGTGTTGTTAGTTGTGTAGTCCTTTTGATGTAATCTTTCTAGGTTTGTGTTGTTGTAGATTACCATTATTTACCACTTGAAAATTGGATGCCCGTTGCATCAGTTTCGTATGAATTTATTAGTCAAGATACGAATACAGTACACTGTATGTTTCTCGTTCAATCAATGAAAACTTCTTAACCTGATTATACATACGGATTTCTATATGTAGATGTTGATATCATACGCATGAATGCTGTATACGGTATTATACACACGGATTTCTATATGTAGATGTTGATATCATACACATGAATGCTGTATACGGTATTATACATACGAAGTTCTGTATGTAGATGTTGATATCATACACATGAATGCTGTATATGATACTATACATACGGATTTCTGTATGTAGATGTTGATATCATACACATGAATGCTGTTTTTGAGTTGAATTATTTTTTTGGATTATAAAATGTGTTGATAGGTGGTTCTTTTTTCTTTCTTTCTATAAGCACACATTAAGACTTGAAGAAACATCAAGTGTTATGAATGAAGAAAGACAATTTGCAACCATAGATTTTGTTTGTTTTATAATTTGCACAGGGCATGGTATACCACTTCTTCTACTGCCAATGGCTTCATGTGGACTCAAAACACAAATTAAACATATTAACACAAAGTTTTGGACTCGAAAAATTTACGACCTCGAATGGTGGAAAATTGATAGGAAAGAAAAAAGTAACGATCGTCGATCTTACTGTTTCTTTTCTTCGTTGTTGCTGGCAATTGCTTCCTTCTCACGTGCTTGAGTAGCACTTGCCGCCGGCGTTGACATTGACGCATACTTCTCGGTCTTCCCCAGTACAATCTCAATCTAAATCTCGAAAATTATGCAAAAACATCAGCAATTAGCCAGTTTTGCGACAGGTCCCATGTATTTAGCGACAAACATTGTGGTCGTCGCTAATGCTACCTACGGCCAAGATAAGGCCTTTGTAGCGAAAGTAAATTTATGCTTCGCATTTAGCGACAATGTTTGTCGCTAAAGACTTTTGTTTTTTGAATAACAAAATCTTTGCGTAAACGTTAGTATTTATCTGTTTTAACAACTTCAGTGACATTTTTTTTATCTTTAGCGACATACATCATAGTCGTCACTATTGCTACATACACGAGCCGAGGTCATCGTAACAAAAGTAAATTTCTACATTTGCATTTAGCGACAGATGCGTGTCGTTAAAGATCGTCGTTTCTGTCCCTGATAAAAAAACACGTATTTCATGTATGTATCGATCCTTCATCAAACTTACCCTGGCCTTTTGAATTAGTCGGCCCCTCGTTTCATCCTTCATGCCAATGGTAGATGTCACGACCTCTGATGCAAACGTACTTGTTTTAATAGGATAATTTATGATTTGAAATTTGAATACGAAATTGAGGTATACTTACTTTTCTCAACCGCAAGTCCGTTGTTCTTGAGTATCTCGGCTACTGTAACGACGGTAGTGATTGCTATAACAAAGAGAGAGAACGAATTATGAGATAAGATCGACGGCGTGAATTAAGAAAGAACACTAAACCAGTAAATTGTTTTTCGAATATATGTTACAGGGTATATTTTTTAGGGGATTAAGGAAGAGGTCGTACCCATGCCCAAAGCAGAGAGTTCAACTTCATCATGTTGTTGAATGTACCTCTACAACACAATATTAGAAATAAAAATAACATTAATGCAAACCAATTAAAAAAAATATTCGGTTTTCAAATCAAAATCGAACGATAATGTTGTCTTTATCGGATAATTCTGATTTTTTGGTGGATATCGGTTCTTGTTGTTAGTGCTTTTGTCATGTCGTACGTAGACGACATACCTTAGCAAGATTGACGTAAAAGAAAAGAGGCTTTTTCGTGTTCGAGACTTGAATTCGGTTCTTCTTCGGATGTTCGGGGCTTGTGACGGGAGCGATGGCAGTTTCAGTGGTCATGTCTCTCGCTTTGAACAATCTCAAAGAGACACACTTAATTCGAATGTATTTGTTATAAGTATGTATCTATATTTACTGCCTCTCTCTTACGTATTCTAAGCAGGAAAACGTACGGATGGGACCTGTGCTCGTAGAACCGTACCAAATATTGGAAAATCATACATATATACACCCCCAACGACTTTGGGGCGTCTCATTTTGGTAATACGTGAATCTGATTGGTTGACTCAGTAAAACGGTCATTTTTGAATGTGTGATTATACGAAATAAATGGTAAAACCTATCACATATTTTGACAATATTTTTGGTTACCCGCTCCCATTTATCTAATCGAATAAATTTATTGTTATTTGAAAAACGAGAAAATTACTTTTTTCATCCTCATGTTCCCCTTACGTGAGAGTGAGAGTGAGAGGTATTTTCATCATTTACATATCTCTAAATTTTTAATGATTTGTTTTTTTTTTGTTTTTTTTTCATATAAAGGGTAAAAACAACAAACAAAATCAAATTTTAAATGAAAACCTTAACCTTCAGACTCTCAACTCATGCCTTATTGCCGATTCGTCAACCAGGAGGGTGAAGGATAGTAGTGACATGGTGGTGGGAAATGGGTTAGTGGCGCCCCCCCTCACCCACCCGACCTCTCCCACACCACCACCCTGCCCCCTCGCCCC